GCCCTGTGCTTTTGAACTCTGAAGCCCATAACAAAACCCCCAGAAGCTTTGGAACCCATTGACACGCTGGCAAAATACCAGACCAGATCAAATCAGCCACAAAAGGAATGGCGTAGGCTCTGTATCTCAGGGGTGGCTGAAGCTGGGAGCCACCAGTGAATCACAACACCGTCACTTTAGAGGCAGTGGTGATGAGGCCAAAAGTTGGGGAGCCTCCTGTTTTAGAGAAGCAGCTGAGTCAGAGGTACAGCTGCTTCGTGACTTGAGTATTTCCCAGGGCCCCTGCTATCCCCCCACTTTAACTACCACTTAATCTTCCTGGGACTGAAGGCTTCTCCTGTTCCTTCCAACCAGGCCCCAGCAGCATCCTGACTGCAGGCCATTCCCTTCCTCTAAATGTGAATGATCGTGACCCCACCCCCACCCCCACCCTGCTGTTTGTCCTTGTTGTCTGCAATGCTGTAAGCTTCTGACACCTGATGTGTCTTCAAAGGTCTGACTCAAGGGTGATCTCCTCTGTAGCATCTCCACTGTGCACAGGACTTGGGGGAAGGGTGCTCATCCACACCATTTCCCTTCATCTGTGAGAGTTCTCTGCCATGAGATTTTCCAGCTATCTCTCTTCTGGGGCCCTTTCTCTCTCTGTTTATTCTTCTGTGGAACTAGCAAAATGTGCTGAGCATGGCTGAAGATGCCACCCAGGTGGAAGCGAGGCAGACTTCCACCCCTCCCTCTGAAAGAACGGGGTTATCAGAGATCTTAACCGGAGAGGGTTGTAAAGGTTTGGTGACAGGCTGCGCTGTGGCTCCGTGGTAGGGAAAATGGCAGTTCAGGACGTGCAGAGCCCTGGGTTCCATCCCCACCAGGACGACGGCGAGATCACGCTTGGAAAATGTCTAGAGTGGTCACAGATGTGTATGACATGTTCCGTGAACACTGACTCCTTCCTCCCCTTCCTCCCTTCACTCCGCCCTTAGTCCTGTGTTACCCTGGAGGAGGAGAAAGCTCACTGGAGCACACCAAGAGGCCGTCCCGTAACAGAGGTAATGGGACCTCAGACTTCAGGATTTCAGCCACACTCAGCAACGCATGATCCTCTTTTCTCTACAACAGGTCCCCTAGAACACTACCGGATCCCCAAACACTAGGATCCAGGAACCCTCGGAAGCCTGCCACCCACGCGATCTGCCATGCCCCGTGCAGGCTTAGCTGGGCTGTTTCTACACTTATGGTCAGCACTGAGCCACGCATCCTGCCCCCTGAAACACTCTAATGACAGGGCAGGCACACACGCTAAAGAAAGTGGCAGCCGGGCAGGGCTGAGCCGCGTGAACGATGTTGCAAAGGACTTCCGCGAACCCACGAGAGGCCAGGAGGTGGGGAGGCAGGAGGACAAGCTGTCTCGCCCTCGCTGGCATTCAGGGACAATTACAGCCTCTCGCCCAGCTGAGAGCAGTGCTCTGCCCTGTGGGTCTGCACTGAGCTGGGGCGGCCCGTAGATGGCTCGGCCCACGAGCATGTGGTTGGCAACTCCTGAACTTTGGGTGACTCGGTGCCAGCTGATCCGGTCGGCAATTATGTTTTATTTTGGGGCCAGGGAGACAGCAGCGAACCAGGAAAATTATAAGACGCTACAGTGCTATTTTGCTAAGAATATCAACTGCAAAGTTGGTGTTGTTCTTTTTTTTTTTTTTTTTTTTTCCTTAACCAATTGTCCTTCGGATGGTTTGGGGTTTTTCAATGTACTAAAAATAAAACCCTGGATACAGAAGTCAGATTAGAGCCAACTGTCCCAGGGCTTATTTGGGTCTTGACCCAGTGAAAACCTCGCTGGTTGTGCAGCTGTTTGGGGGAGGGTGGCTCCTGCTGAGGGAGTGTCGATGGCGACAGTAGTGTAAGTCACTAGTGACAGTGTGTCCTATGTACCCAGACTGGTGGAGTTCCTTCTGCGCTTAAATCCTCACTGCTTCCTACTGGCTATCTGGGTTTGGATAAACCATACAAAGCTAGGAGCTCCAGTTCCCTATCCATGAAAGGAGCAGGACCATCTAGGCCAGAGCTCACATGCAGATCCAATGAGACAAATCCTCAATCCAGAAAGCATCTGGCCAAGGGCATGTGTCTAAGGTTACTAAGAAGTTAAGTTTCTCATCATAAAAAATAAACAGTCTCCGTTAACCCATCCTGGATTAAGCCCACATAGACAATCAGCAAAAACAAAGACGTGAATAGCATTTCTGGGGACAGTTTGGGGTGGAGCCTGCACAGAGTTTGTCACTCGCCTTGGTGACTACGCCATTCCAGGCTCGGCAGCTTTTCAGCAGGAAAATATGAGAGAACGCAGGGGAGCTCAATCCAGTGTTGAGCAGAGATGACTCAGGAAGGAGATGCTGTTTATGCTCCTTGGAGCGCTGGGCCCCTCCTTTCAGTTCCACAGCCCACCGCTAAGCAGGGCTGCTTCTCCAAAAACAAAGCCCTGCTTAAGGACTTGGTGCGGGAATGGGTATAACTGCCACTTGTAAAGGAAGCTAGACCCAGAAAAAAAATCCCCAGACTACATCCCCAGGAACTGGGGTGATCTTCCTGAAACAATGTTTGCCTGCATGGGCTGGAGAGGCCCAGACAATGTGCTCAGGATGTCCTTGAAGGGCAGAGAGTCATCTACCAAGGCCCTCCCCTGTGACGGTCAGGGCCACCTCCCCGCCACCCTAAGGTTTAGGTCAAGGTTAAATGTATCTCACTAAAGCAACACTCGCACCACTGTGTGTGTGGGGGGGGGTGACGTCACCTCTTCCGACTGTCTGTCGAGATGCCATACAGGATCATGCACACCAGTCCTGGAGCAGTGCAAGTAACCAACACAGAAGCCTCACCACCCTCTAAGCCCAGCGTGTCACATGGCAGAGGGCCAGGGAGTGACCAGAGCAGGAGGACAGGCAGCAGCAGGTCACCGCCTCCCAAAACCAGCACTTGGTCTTAGTCCTGGTGTATTATAAAAGAGGGACGCAGTCTCGGAGTGGTACTGCAGCCTGTCCAAAGTCACATCGCTAGGACATGGGGACACCGAGTCTGACTCTGAAGTCAAGGGAAGTGACAAACCCCAGACGGTGCTGTCCTTCCAAGCATTTCAGAGCGGGGTTCAGACGGGAAACTGTCACCTGGGTGAGGACTCTTCACACCTTCCAGCTGGCACAGCTAGAGACGCGGGGAGTGGGAACTGAAATCCCGATCTTGGCTCTTTCAAAAGTAACAGATATTCGGGGACCCCTGATATCAGTCAGGTCTAGTGTTGGGCACTGGAGATAAGTGGTAGGCAAGATACAGCCCACGGCCTTTCTGCCCAGAGGGTTGGTTACAGTGGAAGTGACTGCCCACGCGTCCTGTGCAGCTCATCAACATAGTATGGAGAGCAAGCAAGTGAGCGAGAGACAGAGGGGTGGGGGGGGGGGCTTGTGATGGAGTAGTAGTCTGGGTGGCTTTCAATACAGCACACCAGAAACCCTCCGTGTGACCAAAGCCTGACTTGATCTCTTCATGAAGATGACAGTGTAGAAAGGCTAGGACACTTAGGATGGCCAGGTCACTGAGGGCACCAAAGGAAACCCAAATATCAAATCCCTGTTGAGTCTCTGCAGAGGGCAGAAGGGGATGACTCAGGAGACATTCTGCTTGCAATCACCTGTCTGCTCTGTCCAAGTCACACCTGGAGCCCCGGGACGGAGCAGGGAGAGGGGCATCTCTGGACGCCATGAGGCCACCAGGGGTGCCTGGACTCTAGTCATGTTTTGTCCTCCAGAACAGAGCACAGGTGGTAGACGAGAGAGTGGACAGAGATCTCGGGTTCAGGCCTCTGTGATGACTCCGAGAGTTTGTCATCTTTTCCCACCAGGCGGCATGGACTACGGAAATACAAAACTGAGAATTCAGCGCTGAACAGAGCCCTGAGGTTACGACCAGGCCATCGCTCCCCCGACACACATTTCTCGGCAGCTACTTATTAAAGTCCGTCAGCATCGGCTTAGCTGCTCAAGCATCAGCTCTCTGCTCCAGAAAACAGTTAGCTAGGCGACACTCCCTCAGGGTGCCCAGCCCAAGAGATTCCGTTCACCCTTAAGTGACTTGTAGCTGTTGCCAAGGTGACAGGCCTCCTGGCTGCCCCTCGCTTCCCATGAAAGGCAAGTTCCCCCAAGTCCAGCTTCCTATTCTCCTCAAGGTCACTGGCACCATGCTTGCCACCTTGTTAAACTAACGAGCCAGAAAGACAGGACAATCACTTCATGCCCACACCCCAACCAGAGACTCTTCTGTAGAGAGTGTGGCATATAGGCCATTGCCGGGTCTCAGTAAACCCACGTGGGGTGTGGGTGGCAAGTTTATCCACGATCATGTCTTTCTGGGAGTGCCAGCAAGGGGCTTCACAAGCCTGGAGGCTCTTGAAGTTCAGAGTCCCATAGCTACTAGGACTAGTCACTTACCGGGACTAGGTGAGCTCAGAGGCCCAAACCCCAGGAAGGTCAAAAGTTCCATCATCCCATACAAATCCTCCACATGTCTCCAAACTGTTTTTTCTACAACTTCTAAAATGTTCCTGGGTTACACTGTCAAAATGCTCGAGACAAGAAATGGTTCAGATCTGTGTCCCCCTCCCCAGATTTCTGGAAGATTTGTACACACTAGTGAGATACCTCGGGATAGGATCCAAGTCTAAACACGAGGTTCTTTTATATTTCATAAGTATTTTACACACAGAGCCCAGAGATAGCGTTATAGAGGATCTCCGTGCATCTGCACTGTCACTGGGACCCACTCTGTAAGGTCAGACACGGAATTTCCCACTTTGTGGTGTCACACTGCTGTTCCAAAAGTTTCAGGCTGGGGAGTATCTTGGACTTCAGACTAAGGATGCTAAACAGGAAGGCAACCACTGGAGGCAGGATGTCAGGATGGAGGACACATCCGATCCCCAGAGCACACCAACAGCAGAGAGGCCGGGGTCCTACCTGGATGGGGTTGTAGAGTTCCTGCAGCGGACTTCGCGAGCCTTTCCGGCAGCAGATGTCCATCCCGAAGGGATTCCTCCGCATGACTGGAGAGAGAAAGTGAAGTTCATCAGAAAATAGCTACAAAAGTTTGCTGACCGAGAGAGGGAAAGACATGGGGGCGGGGGCGGCAAAGCAGAAAAGTCTGGCTTCTGCCAGAGAAAGCCCACTGCTGTCCCGGACTGCAAGAGCACCGCGCTTTTCTGTCCCCAGCATTCGGGTGTCCATACCCAAACACCACGGACCACACAAAATCACTTCCCATAGCACATGAGAAAATAAGACAGGCGTCAAAGCTCACTGAGACACAGCCCCTTACAGAAGGCACCTTCAGAGTACCCAAGGAAGTGAGTGTGACTGTCCTGGGTGTGGTGGCATAGTCTCGCGTCACCCAGCAACAGGTCTGTGGTCTGAGAACTGTATCATGAGGTGACAAAGTCACACACACTGAGAAGGTGCCGGATATTTGTTCCCGGAGGCCGCCTGGTGAGGCTGCCCAGCAGAACTCGGAAGACTTTCAGTTTAAGCGTCTGCCCTGGTTGGCTTTCTGTTGCTGTGATAAACGCCAGAACCAAAACCACCTTGTGAGGAAAGCTTATAGCTCCTGGTGGAAGTCAAGACAGAGCAGGCACACGAGACAGGAACCTGGAGGCAGGAACTGACGCAGACCCTGAGGACTGTCTCTGCTTTTCATGGTTCAGTCTGCTTTCTTATACCACCCAGGCCCAGCTGCCCAGGGGTGGCACTGCCCACAGTAAGCTGGGCCTCCGCCATCAATTAGCAACCAAGAAAATGTCCCACAGGCATTTCAGGCAAATCAGAAGGAGACAAACCCTCAACCGAGGCTTCTTCTAGCAGGTGTGTCAAGCTGACAGCTGAGTTATTAGGGCGTCCACGTAAGAAAAAATACATTCTAAAATGACAATAGAAACCGGAGGACATAAATACAGACCAGTAACACAGCTGCTCATACTATCTGCTGTCACATCCTGTACCTGTGGGGCTTGGGAGATGGTTCATTTGGCAATGGTGGCCAAGGGGACAGTCTCCCATGCCCTGGAACAGGTAGCCTGGGTTTGAATCATGGCTCTAACCATACGCCAGCTGTACGACCTTAGGCAAACCATCTATTCCCTCTGTCTGCCCCTCATCTGGGTAAGAAAGAGGACGGAAAGAGAACCTGTCTGGGCTGGTTGCAAAGGTTGAGTTACACAGACTGTTTAAAAAGTGCTTGGTGAATGGACAAGCTCGAAGTTCCTGTTCTGGAGAATCCACTAGATTTGCACATGGCCTATGATCAATGTTGCTCGGCTCCTGGTATAAAGACGGGAATACCTCTCCTCCTGAAGTAGCATGTGGGCTGAGAAGGAGCTGGCCACCTTCCAATCAGAATATAGTCAAGAGACTAAGAGGGCTGATGAGGGGCCGTGCAGGTGCCAACCTGAGGAGGTCAGAAAGCGAAGAGGCTGGGGCTTCAGAGATGGTTCATTGCGAAGCCATTGCCACGGAAGCATGCAGGACTGAGTTTTAATACCCAGAAGCCACATTTGAAAAACAGGTATAGTGTCATATGTCCACAAGGGGGTCACCCCAGTTCTGGAGAAACAGAGGGGAGAACTCTGGAGCTCACCAGCCAACTGACCTAGCTGAAATGCTAAGTTCCAGGTTCAAATACGGTTCAAAGAAGGAGATGCCTGACAGCAACTCTGGCTTTGTGTGTGCGTTCATGTGTGCACACGCCTGCACACACACACACACACACACACACGTGAAGATTAATTTTCACAAGCAACAGGTAACTTCTGGAAGGTTTCCAGGGGAACCAACTCCCTTGCTTGACTTCTCCCTCTGAGCCTGTGGAAACCCTGAGGGGAGAGCATCCATTCCTGGTAGGAGAGGCCGCATGTCCTCTCTCCCTTTCCCTGCCTTCCTCAGGGGAGGCTGGCAAGCTTTTTCTGGAAAGGGCAAGTGGCACTTAGCGATGTGTCATCAAAGAACAATAGGCACACAAAGAGGAAGGCCTGCATGGCAGCCAGCTAGCGGGGTCCCTTTAGGAACAGGAATCGGACGCTCACCGAATCTTCCTGTGTTAGGAAATAGGTTTCTTCTGTTGTTTTGTTTTAATGGCTTAACAAAAATAGGCAGTAGGCAGACTCCTGGGGCTGGAGTTTGGTGATCCCTGTTCTGGAGCCTGGTGATCCAATACAAGCGCTGCACACACCCTGCAAGTCCCGCAGCTTTCCCACAGGAGGAGGGATCTATGAGCAAAAGTCAACACATAAAAGCTGCTAGAATTTGATTAGGCTGTCCAGAAAAACACTGGCTCGTTGTTTCTCCACGGCTGCCCCAGGAAAGTGAGGGAGAAACTCTACTTTGTGTTTTTCTTTAATTTATGACTTCATTTTTCATTTCCACCAAAAAGGAGGCAAACTGTTGAGGGCACGCAGGTCCTCCATCTGCACAATGGCATACCGGCGCTTGGACGGGAGAACACGGCCATAAAACGTGTGAAACTGTGCCCGTGCCATACAAGACTGAAGTCTCCGTATGGCAGCAGACAAGCTCATCGGGACCTGCCACACTGAACACTCCACGGTGGAACCCATTAAAAGCCTTCTTTTACAGGGGGCAGTATTATTTAATTGGTTTATTTTCCTAAAACAAGGTCTTTAAGAAGCCTGGACGTGTGGGGCCTGCAGCTCAGGTCCTTTACCTGTGACTTCATGGGGCGCCACGTAAACTGACTTTGGCACCCCAGGCCACAAAAGCCAAAGGGGCCTTTGTGCTATTTATAAGGGTGACAACAAGCCTACCCCGTGCAGAAGGTCCTGTGTGTGCGGAGAACACAAAACCTTTCGGGGGGCATCACAGGGCTCTGAACATTTCACAGTTTGGATGCTCAGATTTCAGACTTTTTGGGTGAAGAACGAGCAACAGGTCCAGCAAGATGGTTCAGCGGATAGAGGCATATGCTGTCTGGCCTGAAGATCTGAGCTCGATCCCTGCGACCCCACATAGTGGGAGGAGAGAACAGACTCATGCAATTTGCCCTCTGATATTCACAGGTACATATGCTCATATACACGCATGTGTACACACACTTGCATAACTAATTGGTTTTCAAGAGAATGAAAGAACAACCAGCTCATAGCCTAGGCAAATATCCAAATGGAACCTACTGTCGTAGATGTCCTAGGTGTCCACGAATGTGAGCGGTAAACTGAGTCTACAAATCCTCACAAAACCCCCATCCGTACTCAGGCCACCAACAATAGGAACGTCCCCGGAGAACCATGGTGTGGGAAGTCCTTCCGTATTTGTGTTGCTTTTATTGGTTAATGAATAAAGAAGCTGCTTTCGGCCAGTGACTTAACAGAACATAGCCAGGCTGGAAGAGATAGATAGATAGATAGATAGATAGATAGATAGATAGATAGAAAGAATGTTAAGGGGAGGCCTAGAACAAACAGGCAAAAACATCAAGAAAAGTTAACCTGAAAAGATGCCCCCAGTACCGCGCAGTGAATGTCCAATGGACTCCACAAATGCCTAATACACACGAACCCGATCACCTTCCCTCCTCAGGGTGCACAGATCTGGGAAAAATCCAAGTCTTTATTACAGTCAGTTCCCATATCGGTACCCATTAGTATTTAAGGTCATAAAGCCAGGACCACCCTGAATAGAACTTTCAGCTTCTGAAGGTCGAGGACATAAATCTCAGGATTCAGTAAATGTTCCCGCATCGCGGGAAAGACACACAACAGCATTTATCTAAGAAGCGGGAGGTTCACTGACCCAGAAGCCTTCCCCAGGGGCTCCAGTACCCAATGTGGAAGAACAGACTCTCTCATTCAAACACTCACAACAGATAAGAATGACCACTGAATGGATTCCTCAGAAACAATGCCGCTTCTGCAATCGCCTCCCCCAGTCCCTCGGCAGTAATACGAGCAAGTGTCTACTTGCCGTGTCTACTTCAAAACGCAAAGTCCAGCCCAAGGAAAACCACTTGTTAAAGCCTTAAATCAGGGAGGGGGCGGGGGCAGGGACAAGGAGAGAGTCCCAGAGAAAGTCACCAGTGAGGTCACTTCCATGCCAGCACAGGGGTAGAGGGAAAGGGCTGAGAAAGTCTTCAGAATGGGGGAGTGATGGAGTCAAACTGTCAGGGTGGAAAGCACAATAGGAAGAATGTCTGTACCCCTTTTCTCCCCCACCCCCACAGATTCCTACATTGAAAGTTGGGGGGGGGCGTTCAGGAGGTGATTCAGTCATGGGGACAGGGCCTTTAGAGTAGGGTTACTGTCTGAATCAAAGTGACATTTTACTCCTAGAGGGCACAGAAGACACACACCCATGACACTGGAAGTGGAAGTCCAGCAGACGCTAACCTGTCAGTACTCTAACCTGCAGGAAATGCATTTCTGTTGTTCAGATGTCACACGGCCTGTGGTTGGTTAATACGGAAGGCGGAACAGACTGAGACACACGGCTCAGAAAATGGCCTGGCTGGTGGCGTACACCTGTCACCCACAGAGAGCACAGCGGAGGGGAGGGGAAGAAGTGGGAGACAGTAGACATTAAGGAGGGATACCCAGGCAGGAATGGAGGAAGGGATACCCAGGAGAAACTGTCCATAAGCTATGGCTAGAATCATGGTTTCTCGAGTTCTACCAGGAAAAGCAGATGGCCACCTCAGAGTGGCTATACAGTACAGACCTCAGAACAGGCTGGACCTGTCAGGTCTCTCCTAAGCATCACAGTGTGTAAGCCTGAAAGACGGGCCAAGGATCGGAGAGGTGGGACTGGTCCTGGGTGGGAATAAGTGTGACCTGGTCAGCCAGTGACTCAAGCTCTGTCATCAACTGCAGAAGTCCTACTCAAACTGAGTTCAGCCCTGAGAAAAGGACATCAGACCAACGGGACCATGACCCACAGAAGTCAAAAGGTGACTCCAAAATGGCCTAAAATACTTCAAACCAAGGATGGTTTCAAAAGATGAGAGATTAGATGTGTACAAAGGAAGCAAATCTCCAGCCACAGAAAA